TTGCCACACACACCAACACCGCCCGCCGCCACCGCCGGCGAAATTGATTTTTTTCATGTGTGCGCCGAAAAGCTGAGTGTGCGTTGTCTGTTTCGTGCAACAACCGCCCCCGCACCCCCCTCATCATATCCGCTTTCTTTTTTTTCGCTGAACGAACAGCCCACTGTTTTCGTGACCAAGGCAAAGCGGAAGCTGCGAGGCAGCCCGGCAAGAGGGGGGGGCTGCGGGGGAGGCCCCGTCTCTCCCATGGCGACCCGGCTCTCGAGAGGCTTCCCTCCCTCGAGCATCAGACCCAACACTACTGGTTTCAGCGGGGCGTCGAACCCATCAACACCACACCGCGGCGGCAGCAGCTGTTGCATCACACAACACGACGCTTCGTCGTCGTCAGCAGCAGCTAAAGGGGAGGCAACACAGCAGAGGCTGGGAGCGGGAGGGACGGGGGGGCTACTGGACGACAAGGATGGACCGCCCTCGCTTGCCCCTCTCGGAAGCGTTGCTCCTAGCACCAGGGTCGCGGCCGCCGCCGCTCCGACCCCCGAGAGTGCTGCGGGTCTCGAGGCCGGTGGCGGTGGTTCCGAAGCCAGCAACAGCCGCGGGGCGCGACAGCAGCAGCAGCAGCAGCAAAAGAAGCAGCAAGTGGACATCAAGGACATGATGCTCAAGGCTAAAAAAGCCTCGGACAACATCCGCCTGCTACTGCACGCCAAGGTATGAAGTAGATGCCCTCTCCGGGATCCGGGAACCAAGGCTTCTTTACTAACACACCGCTCGCTCGCGTGCGCGTGCGTTGCGGGACCATTCAGTACCTCCTTTGCTGGCTCTTTTTTTTTTCCATCCATGGGAGTTGTCAGTCTGCCTCTGGGGTAGTTGTTCCCTCCCTCCTTGTATCCCCCCCCCCCCCCCCCCCCCCCCCCAAAAAAACCCAAAAAACCCTCCCCCTTTTTATTTTTCCCCCCCCACACCCCCCCCCCCCATAAAAAAACCTTAAACCCATATAAATTTTTTTTCCCCCCCCCCCCCCAAATTAAAAAAAACCCTCTTTAAAAAAAAATTCTCCATTTTTCCTCCCCCCCCTTTTTTATTTACCCCCCCCCCCCTTTTTTTTTTTCCCTATTATTTTTTAACCCCCAAAAAAAACAATTTCCTAATTTTTTTCCCCCAAAAAAAAAAA